CCCCCTGGAGCGTCTGCGTCACCAAAGTGCCACCACCCCGTGATGCTACTGTGTCCCCACGGTGCCACCACCCCCTGGAGCCCCTGTGTCGCCAAAGTGCCACCGCTTCCCAGCGATACCATGTCCCCACGGTGCCACCACCCCCTGGAGCCCCTATGTCGCCAAAGTGCCACCGCTTCCCAGCGATACCATGTCCCCACGGTGCCACCACCCCCTGGAGCCCCTGTGTCGCCAAAGTGCCACCGCTTCCCAGCGATACCATGTCCCCACGGTGCCACCACCCCCTGGAGCCCCTATGTCGCCAAAGTGCCACCGCTTCCCAGCGATACCATGTCCCCACGGTGCCACCACCACCCCCCCAGTGTCACCACAGTGCCACTACCCTGTGATGCTACTGTGTCCCCACGGTGCCACCACCACCCCCCCAGTGTCACCACAGTGCCACTACCCTGTGATGCTACTGTGTCCCCACGGTGCCACCACCCCCTGGAGCCCCTATGTCGCCAAAGTGCCACCGCTTCCCAGCGATACCATGTCCCCACGGTGCCACCACCACCCCCCCAGTGTCACCACAGTGCCACTACCCTGTGATGCTACTGTGTCCCCACGGTGCCACCACCCCCTGGAGCCCCTGTGTCGCCAAAGTGCCACCGCTTCCCAGCGATACCATGTCCCCACGGTGCCACCACCCCCTGGAGCCCCTGTGTCGCCAAAGTGCCACCGCTTCCCAGCGATACCATGTCCCCACGGTGCCACCACCCCCTGGAGCCCCTATGTCGCCAAAGTGCCACCGCTTCCCAGCGATACCATGTCCCCACGGTGCCACCACCCCCTGGAGCCCCTATGTCGCCAAAGTGCCACCGCTTCCCAGCGATACCATGTCCCCACGGTGCCACCACCACCCCCCCAGTGTCACCACAGTGCCACTACCCTGTGATGCTACTGTGTCCCCACGGTGCCACCACCCCCTGGAGCCCCTATGTCGCCAAAGTGCCACCGCTTCCCAGCGATACCATGTCCCCACGGTGCCACCACCCCCTGGAGCCCCTATGTCGCCAAAGTGCCACCGCTTCCCAGCGATACCATGTCCCCACGGTGCCACCACCCCCTGGAGCCCCTGTGTCGCCAAAGTGCCACCGCTTCCCAGCGATACCATGTCCCCACGGTGCCACCACCCCCTGGAGCCCCTGTGTCGCCAAAGTGCCACCGCTTCCCAGCGATACCATGTCCCCACGGTGCCACCACCCCCTGGAGCCCCTGTGTCGCCAAAGTGCCACCGCTTCCCAGCGATACCATGTCCCCACGGTGCCACCACCCCCTGGAGCCCCTATGTCGCCAAAGTGCCACCGCTTCCCAGCGATACCATGTCCCCACGGTGCCACCACCACCCCCCCAGTGTCACCACAGTGCCACTACCCTGTGATGCTACTGTGTCCCCACGGTGCCACCACCACCCCCCCAGTGTCACCACAGTGCCACTACCCTGTGATGCTACTGTGTCCCCACGGTGCCACCACCACCCCCCCAGTGTCACCACAGTGCCACTACCCTGTGATGCTACTGTGTCCCCACGGTGCCACCACCACCCCCCCAGTGTCACCACAGTGCCACTACCCTGTGATGCTACTGTGTCCCCACGGTGCCACCACCACCCCCCCAGTGTCACCACAGTGCCACTACCCTGTGATGCTACTGTGTCCCCACGGTGCCACCACCACCCCCCCAGTGTCACCACAGTGCCACTACCCTGTGATGCTACTGTGTCCCCACGGTGCCACCACCACCCCCCCAGTGTCACCACAGTGCCACTACCCTGTGATGCTACTGTGTCCCCACGGTGCCACCACCACCCCCCCAGTGTCACCACAGTGCCACTACCCTGTGATGCTACTGTGTCCCCACGGTGCCACCACCCCCTGGAGCCCCTGTGTCGCCAAAGTGCCACCGCTTCCCAGCGATACCATGTCCCCACGGTGCCACCACCCCCTGGAGCCCCTATGTCGCCAAAGTGCCACCGCTTCCCAGCGATACCATGTCCCCACGGTGCCACCACCACCCCCCCAGTGTCACCACAGTGCCACTACCCTGTGATGCTACTGTGTCCCCACGGTGCCACCACCACCCCCCCAGTGTCACCACAGTGCCACTACCCTGTGATGCTACTGTGTCCCCACGGTGCCACCACCACCCCCCCAGTGTCACCACAGTGCCACTACCCTGTGATGCTACTGTGTCCCCACGGTGCCACCACCCCCTGGAGCCCCTATGTCGCCAAAGTGCCACCGCTTCCCAGCGATACCATGTCCCCACGGTGCCACCACCACCCCCCCAGTGTCACCACAGTGCCACTACCCTGTGATGCTACTGTGTCCCCACGGTGCCACCACCCCCTGGAGCCCCTATGTCGCCAAAGTGCCACCGCTTCCCAGCGATACCATGTCCCCACGGTGCCACCACCCCCTGGAGCCCCTGTGTCGCCAAAGTGCCACCGCTTCCCAGCGATACCATGTCCCCACGGTGCCACCACCCCCTGGAGCCCCTATGTCGCCAAAGTGCCACCGCTTCCCAGCGATACCATGTCCCCACGGTGCCACCACCACCCCCCCAGTGTCACCACAGTGCCACTACCCTGTGATGCTACTGTGTCCCCACGGTGCCACCACCACCCCCCCAGTGTCACCACAGTGCCACTACCCTGTGATGCTACTGTGTCCCCACGGTGCCACCACCCCCTGGAGCCCCTGTGTCGCCAAAGTGCCACCGCTTCCCAGCGATACCATGTCCCCACGGTGCCACCACCCCCTGGAGCCCCTATGTCGCCAAAGTGCCACCGCTTCCCAGCGATACCATGTCCCCACGGTGCCACCACCACCCCCCCAGTGTCACCACAGTGCCACTACCCTGTGATGCTACTGTGTCCCCACGGTGCCACCACCCCCTGGAGCCCCTATGTCGCCAAAGTGCCACCGCTTCCCAGCGATACCATGTCCCCACGGTGCCACCACCCCCTGGAGCCCCTATGTCGCCAAAGTGCCACCGCTTCCCAGCGATACCATGTCCCCACGGTGCCACCACCCCCTGGAGCCCCTATGTCGCCAAAGTGCCACCGCTTCCCAGCGATACCATGTCCCCACGGTGCCACCACCCCCTGGAGCCCCTATGTCGCCAAAGTGCCACCGCTTCCCAGCGATACCATGTCCCCACGGTGCCACCACCACCCCCCCAGTGTCACCACAGTGCCACTACCCTGTGATGCTACTGTGTCCCCACGGTGCCACCACCACCCCCCCAGTGTCACCACAGTGCCACTACCCTGTGATGCTACTGTGTCCCCACGGTGCCACCACCCCCTGGAGCCCCTATGTCGCCAAAGTGCCACCGCTTCCCAGCGATACCATGTCCCCACGGTGCCACCACCCCCTGGAGCCCCTGTGTCGCCAAAGTGCCACCGCTTCCCAGCGATACCATGTCCCCACGGTGCCACCACCACCCCCCCAGTGTCACCACAGTGCCACTACCCTGTGATGCTACTGTGTCCCCACGGTGCCACCACCCCCTGGAGCCCCTATGTCGCCAAAGTGCCACCGCTTCCCAGCGATACCATGTCCCCACGGTGCCACCACCACCCCCCCAGTGTCACCACAGTGCCACTACCCTGTGATGCTACTGTGTCCCCACGGTGCCACCACCACCCCCCCAGTGTCACCACAGTGCCACTACCCTGTGATGCTACTGTGTCCCCACGGTGCCACCACCCCCTGGAGCCCCTATGTCGCCAAAGTGCCACCGCTTCCCAGCGATACCATGTCCCCACGGTGCCACCACCCCCTGGAGCCCCTGTGTCGCCAAAGTGCCACCGCTTCCCAGCGATACCATGTCCCCACGGTGCCACCACCACCCCCCCAGTGTCACCACAGTGCCACTACCCTGTGATGCTACTGTGTCCCCACGGTGCCACCACCACCCCCCCAGTGTCACCACAGTGCCACTACCCTGTGATGCTACTGTGTCCCCACGGTGCCACCACCCCCTGGAGCCCCTGTGTCGCCAAAGTGCCACCGCTTCCCAGCGATACCATGTCCCCACGGTGCCACCACCACCCCCCCAGTGTCACCACAGTGCCACTACCCTGTGATGCTACTGTGTCCCCACGGTGCCACCACCCCCTGGAGCCCCTGTGTCGCCAAAGTGCCACCGCTTCCCAGCGATACCATGTCCCCACGGTGCCACCACCCCCTGGAGCCCCTATGTCGCCAAAGTGCCACCGCTTCCCAGCGATACCATGTCCCCACGGTGCCACCACCACCCCCCCAGTGTCACCACAGTGCCACTACCCTGTGATGCTACTGTGTCCCCACGGTGCCACCACCACCCCCCCAGTGTCACCACAGTGCCACTACCCTGTGATGCTACTGTGTCCCCACGGTGCCACCACCACCCCCCCAGTGTCACCACAGTGCCACTACCCTGTGATGCTACTGTGTCCCCACGGTGCCACCACCCCCTGGAGCCCCTATGTCGCCAAAGTGCCACCGCTTCCCAGCGATACCATGTCCCCACGGTGCCACCACCCCCTGGAGCCCCTATGTCGCCAAAGTGCCACCGCTTCCCAGCGATACCATGTCCCCACGGTGCCACCACCACCCCCCCAGTGTCACCACAGTGCCACTACCCTGTGATGCTACTGTGTCCCCACGGTGCCACCACCACCCCCCCAGTGTCACCACAGTGCCACTACCCTGTGATGCTACTGTGTCCCCACGGTGCCACCACCCCCTGGAGCCCCTGTGTCGCCAAAGTGCCACCGCTTCCCAGCGATACCATGTCCCCACGGTGCCACCACCCCCTGGAGCCCCTGTGTCGCCAAAGTGCCACCGCTTCCCAGCGATACCATGTCCCCACGGTGCCACCACCCCCTGGAGCCCCTGTGTCGCCAAAGTGCCACCGCTTCCCAGCGATACCATGTCCCCACGGTGCCACCACCCCCTGGAGCCCCTATGTCGCCAAAGTGCCACCGCTTCCCAGCGATACCATGTCCCCACGGTGCCACCACCCCCTGGAGCCCCTGTGTCGCCAAAGTGCCACCGCTTCCCAGCGATACCATGTCCCCACGGTGCCACCACCACCCCCCCCCGGAGTGGCTGCGTCACCATAGTGCCACCACCCCGTGATGCTACTGTGTCCCCACGGTGCCACCACACGCTGGTGCCACCCCCCCCCGCGAGGCACTACTACCCCACAGGTGCTACCGTGTCCCCAAAGCGCCACCAACCCCAGGTGCCACCATCCCATCTCCCCCCCCCCCCCGGGGGGGGGGCGCCCCCGGGGGGGGGGGGGGTCCCCTTGGCCCCCCCCCAGGGTTGGCGTGTCCCCGCGGAGGGGGACGTGTCCCTTTGTCCCCGAATCATTAAAGACGCTGCGTCTGCACGGGGCAGACCCGGCTCCCTCCTGTCGGTGGGGTGGAGGGTTTGGGGACCCCAGAAGGGACACGGGTGGCCCCGAAAGGGACAGCGGAGGGACCTCGTGGCAGGGGGACAGAGGCCCCCCCTTCAAGAGGTGACCCCGAGGACAGGGACACAGGAGGGTCCGGTGTGTGTCTGTCCCCGTCCCCCCCCCTCCAGGACATGGGGACCCTCGTGGGACAGCGTGATGGCAGGGAGAGGATTTGGGGGACAC